AAAAAAAAAAAAGTGTAGGGCTGCACAATTTATCCCAAAAATAGTGATTCAATATTAATATGACTATGTAAAAAATAAAATAAAATAATAATAATAAGGAGAATTATTATTATTATTATTTTTACTACTACTACTACAAGATTAAAAAATATTAAATGAAAAACATTACTATTCACTGTAAAATAAAAAGAAAACAAGTATGTTTAAAAGAAGCTACAAGACTGCTGCGTTTGTATGTAGGGTTACACAAATTGGCCAAAAATATTGTGATTATATATATATTAATTGGACTACAGAATAAATAATAATAATAATAGATAAAATAATAAACAAAATAAGAAATATTACAACTTAGTGTAAAATATAAACAAGTATTTAATAAAAATATAACAATATTATTATTATTATTATTTTATTGTACAGTACAATTGTAAAATTACAATTAAATACAAATTGTTAGTGTTTCTGGCTGTCTTAATTTCTTCATTTTTAAATGTTAAACCATCAAGTTTCTATTTTTTATAACAAGTTTGTGTGGTTTTATTCAGCTTAATCAAGCAGCCCTAAAAATAACCTGTTTTTTTTTTTCTTCTTCTTCCCAGCATGTTACCACGTAATAATCTGCAGTATCCTTTCAGTGCAGTGGCTAATGTCTGTCTGCGCTTCAGTGTTGGGAAGGATCTGCGTGAAGCTGTGGATGTGTGAATGGCACCTGCAGAGCGTGTCCTCTCCAGCGTCGGCTCTCTTTCCCGCGGCATCTCCCCGTCTCCCAGCATGCCCTGGGCTTCAGCCGAGCGCTCGTGGAGCACAGGAGACTGACACCTGCGGAAGAGTTCAGACTCATGGGAACGGCCAAAATGACAGCAACAGCTCATTTCTTTACTGATCCTAAACAACTGTCAGTCTTGATTGGCTTCAGCCGAGTGCTCGTGGAGCACAGGAGACTGACACCTGCGGACGAGACCGGCTAGAGCTCAGACTCAGGGGAACGGCCGAAATGGCTTAGATCAGCCAAATGAGGATGATGAAAAGATTTATTTCTGGGATATTCATCTTTCGTTGCAGTGCACAGATGTAGAGTTGGATTAAAACACCTCAAAGTCGCCACGTTTGAGGACATGCTAAAAAAACGTCCAGCCTTAATGGGATTGGTTATAGAAAAACATGGGATATTAATAAAAATTCAACAAAGTCTGGTAATGAAATGTGTGAAGATCCTGTGGCTCACGTCTGCAGATGTTTATAGTTTTTGTCAATGCTGGACGAGACGTGTGACTTAAAGGGGTCATATGATGCTGCTAAAAAGAACATTATTTTGTGTATTTGGTGTAATGAAATGTGTTTATGCGGTTTAAAGTAAAAAAAACCACATTATTTTCCACATACTGTACATTATTGTTTCTCCTCTATGCCCCGCCTTTTTGAAACGCGTCGATTTTTACAAAGCTCATCGGTCTGAAAAAGCGAGGTGTGCTGTGATTGGCCAGCTATTCAGTGCGTTGTGATTGGCCGAATACCTCAAGCGTGTGACGGAAATGTTACGCCCCTCACATACTGTTGATGCCGTGTCCGGCCGGAGCGACGAGACATAAACATTAAAACCCATTACAAACGAGGCATTTGTTGCATCCAGTGGGGACATAATTACTGATTATAATGACTTATACTGTCTTTTTACGCGTTGCGTTGCATTGCATCGCGCCGCGTAAACATAAAACTCTGTCTGCATTTGTGATCAGAGAAATGACAAACAACAAGTGCTACTCTACACTGCCCAAAACTCGCGTTTGAATCATCAGTGGCAAATCCTTTAAATGAAAACGTACTTACGTGAGTCAGAACTGCCATTTTAGTCTAACGTTACTCTCCCAGGATCAGTAAACAGTCCTCCATAAAATGTGCTGCACACATCTGAATATTTGGGTTGAAGTGTTCTGGAACAGTGTTGTAAATACAACTTAACCACTGATTTCTAGTCGTGTCCATTTTTGGAAGACCAAACAAAGTAGTTTCGCTTTCACAACGAAAAACACAGCGGCTTAGCGTGAGGGGAAGCCCCGGCTTAGCGTGCGCTGAGGCCGGGATAGAGTGAGCTGAGGCCGGGCTAGCGTGAGCTGAGGCGGCGGGGTCGAGAACGGCGCGCCTGGCGGATCCGACGAATGGCCGAATGAGCGGACCCCGGGCTGGATTCCGCTTCGTCCATGGTGAAAGTTTATGTATTCCCTCAGCGACCAGCACAGATCAGCTCTAGGCATGACGAAGCGGATATCGTCCTCTTTTGGAAGACCAAACAAAGTAGTTTCGCTTTCACAACGAAGCACACAGCGTCTTCACGACATGGCTGCAGCGTCAACAATACTACAGTGAGACTAAAAGTTACGCCTTCTTTCTTTGCGTGAACATTTGGGCGGCGTTATGCAAATCTTCCCACATAGTGAGGTAGATATGTGGGGGCGTGTTAGAACGAGCCGTTTTAGGTAGGCGTGGCTGACTCTGAACTTTTATAAAGAATATCTCTTTGGATTTGAGACTTTAGTCTTTGCAACTTTACAGATCTTCTTTATGCACCAAGAGCTTGTAACACTCCAAAGAGAAAGGAAAAGTTGAAATCGCATCATATGACCCCTTTAAAATCAAGTACTAATTACTTTTATTAAAAAGGGGGAAGTCGTGGCCTAATGGTTAGAGAGTCGGACTCGTAACCCAAAGGTTGCGGGTTCGAGTCTCGTACCGGCAGGGATTGTAGGTGGGGGGAGTGAATGTACAGCGCTCTCTTCCACCTTCAATACCATGATTGAGGTGCCCTTGAGCAAGGCACCGAACCCCCACTGCTCCCCGGGCGCCGCAGCAAAAATGGCTGCCCACTGCTCCGGGTGTGTGTGTGTGCACTTTGGATGGGTTAAACGCAGAGCACTAATTCCTAGTATGGGTAACCATACTTGGCCACATGTCATGTCACTTCACTTCACTTTAAAAAAATCTTTCTGATCCTAAACTTTTGACCGGTAGTGTATATATTTATTGATGTATTTATTTTATTTGAGTTTTCCATTGGACCAACACATTAATACTAAATTAAACTAATAAACAAACCAAATTATTACTAAATAAATACTAAAAGAACAGCCTACTTGATAATGAAAATGATCAATGTAATCGTATTAACTGTATGTGTGTCATATGTCCAGCAGAATGAGTTTGTGTTACCCGTCGTATCCCGGCTGCTGGTTCCAGCTGGCGCTTGCGCAGGGTCCCGGGTCGCTGGAGGACGACTGGTTACTGGGTGAGCTGCGGTAGTGTTGGGACGCGTCTCCTTTACTGCAGGACGAGATCTGAGGCTTCTCAACATCCTGAACGCTCCTGCAGCGAGAGAAACACACATTCTGAACAAACCGCGGATCAGAGAGGCAAGAGAGCAGCGTCAGGTGACTGATCTGATTCACAGGAGTGTCTCCAATCAGACCCGGAAGCAGCTAATGCGCAGGAGACTGTGTGCAACATTCAGCATTGCTTGGTCTACCATGACATTCTCATCAACATTGAGGAAAAGAGAAAGAAATGATCAAATAAAATAAAGAGCCATGGATAATTAGGCAACACAGTCTCATAACTGTTGCAAGCATCAATAATAATAATAATAATACATTTTATTCCATATTGCACCTTTAAATGCAGCTTCTCAAGCCGCTTTACAAAGAAATAAGCAATATAAAAAAAAAAAGTAAAAAAAAAAAAAAAAAATGAAC